TTTATTGCAAATAATAAATTAGAGTTATAATAAATCTTGTAATCCATTTCTGAATAATTATTAACCTCCAGTTTTGTCCTGGCTGAAAGTATTTTTACCAAATAACTTAGAGTGAAATCCAGTACATATACGATGTTGAAACTGAAAAACTTAATAAATGTTGAACTATTAATTGACAAAATAATTTAAAAATAATATTTATAAGTAATATAAATAAAGTTCTATAAAATGTATTTAAGAATTATTATTATAAAACCAAATTTTTTTAAATTTTCATCTTTATTTACAAATATCACTATTTTTGAATATGATTAAATTTGTATTTTTATTTTACAATGACTCAGGAAAATAAAACTAGTTATTTTAAACTACATATTTTATAGTTACTTTCTAATATTTTTCTAACAGCAAAGGCTAAAATAAATACAAGAAAAACTAACACATGAATACATTAAAATTATCATTAGTTTTATTATTCTTTTATATACACTTGTTAAATAATTGAAGCAATAAAAAATTTAATTGACCTTTGAAATATATATTTTAATATTATTTTGACAATTATTTATGATAGTATTTTTATGGTAGATGTTAAATTTTATAGGATTTATATAGAATTGTTTGCAATACTTATAAACAAAGTAATGTATAAACTTTATTTCAATAATTAAACATTTAAATTATGTGTGAAAAATTATATCAGTTTATTTTATTTTTTTCAATTGTGAAACTAAATGCATTACTAGTTAATTTCTTATTCAATTCACATAGTTATCATTTTAATATTTTAATTACAAGATAATATAAATATTTTATAATTATTACTTTTATTTAATGAATAAAACTAACTTGTTAATTAAGTAAAAAAAATTCTATTACTATATAAACTAGAAATTATTTGTTCTTGTTAATTTTTAATATTTTATTGTTTTATTGTTACACAAATTGATATGAAAATATTTTATAAATATGTTCATATTTCGAATATTCATAAAGTTACATTACTGCGCAAGTATACATAAAAAAAGAAGTAAAAAGTTATATACAAATATATAAGGTAATATAAAATATTAATTTATTTGCAGCATTAAACAATAACTAAATCTTAAAGTATAAATATTAAAAATTTGAAGTTGTTAAATTTTATTAATTATTTGTAACTTTAAATTACATTTTTTTCTTATAATGTAAAATTTAATGTATAAATTTATAGAAGATCTCGCATTAGATAGGATATATTTTATTATTTAATATACATTTTTGAGGAACCTATGTTGTATGTATATGCTATATTAATGTTATATTAAATTATGTAAATATTCAATAGAATAATAATCAGTTAATATTTATTTATAAATTTACTTACATTTATTAAGATTTCCCTTATCTAACACTGTAATTATTTTTGGCATTAATAAATAGATTTATTACAGTAAAAATAATCTTCTAATAAGTAGCAGTATTATTGCGAATATTAAGATTGCAATTAATAAACTCCAAAGAAAATCTTTAGAGTATGATATAACTTCTATTGGTGGATTTAAAATTTCAGGTTCATTTTCTGCATTTAAATTATTGATATTGTTTCTATGCCTTAATTCATTTTCTTCAACAATATCAGCATTTGATAAATAAGGCATATCTTGTGATATTGATACATCACCCTGTAATATTTTATATTTACATAAAATTTTGTTTTTACAATTTAAAAATTCTCACCTTCAAAGAAATTGTATTTAACATGTGCTGTTCTTCTTCTGTTATTGGTTTTTTAACTTTATTATATGATAATAAATCTGCTATTTTACCACAACTATCACAATACCAATTTAATGATCTATAAATAAAACCTCAAATTAATATATATTTTAAATTAATTACATTATAAAAAATATCATAAATATACTTCTTGTGTATTTAATAATTTAAATATACAATAATGTAAACAACTATCAAATAAATTTTTATTAACCACTTGAAGAATATTGATTTATATTTTTATATTTTTACATACATTGATTGATTGAAAATACCAAATAAAACTGTTTTCTTGTAAAATGAAATTAAGTAGAAAATGTATATTAAAATAAATTATTATTATTATAAAAATGAAAAGAAGAATTTTAATAATTTAAACTTTTATTTTCTTACATATATAAATAACCTCATGTTCTTAATATTAAATTAATACAAACTTTTTATTATTATAATTACTTTTTGGAAAGCTGCTGTCGCTCTATAGGGCTGTAATCTAAAGAACCTACTGTTCCATTTCCAGGTGTAGGCATGAATGCTATTAGAGCTAATAAAGCTGTTCGTATACTCCATGATGGCTGCCATGTTTCTGGATGATGACCAGATATACTTAAACAAATCTTTTTCTTTATTTCAAATCGACCATTAGGCTATAATAAATATAAATCTTATAGAATGAATCCAAAAACTGTTTTAAAAATATACTTAAGAATATATTTTTAACCGTTAAGAGAATAATATTAGGTGGTTTCATAGGATATTCAGGAGGCAATAAAATTTTTCCATGATAAATACCACCCTCAAAATCTGTTGATGGTGGTCCTTGAACAGTAAAATGCCATTCAAACAGATTTTCTTCTAATGGATAAGCATAATACTCGTCGGTTGCATCATGTAATTCTTTTGCTTCTCTCATTAACCTCTTTACAGCTATAATAAATGTTTTAATTAACAAAAAACGTATATGATAAATAAAGTTAGTAATAAAATAAATTGAAGTATGTATTTATTATTTACTTTGAAATAAATTAATTTGAGCAAAGTAATACAATGAAAAGTATAAAATTTTACTTAATATAAAATTTATTGTACATATGTATAAATGTACAATAGTCTTACCTGGACTTTTGGCATTATACTTTCCTTCAAAAGACATAATATAAAAAGCAAGTTTTAAATATCCAGATGTTAACGAAAGTAAAAATATAAATTATCAGATGTTGAATGATGTATTACTTATTTGGGCAGTACTGATTAAGGGGTTATACACGTTCAGAAATTTGAAAAAAATTGATTTTTCAAAAATAACATTTTCTTAAAATATCTTTAAAATATTTTCTCAAATATTTAAATTAAACTAAAATTTCTTGATATAGAGGTTTACATGTAAATATTTTCAGTACTCTGGGAACTATATCTTACCCAAATTAAAAAAAATCGTTTGTTTGTCGCGTATCTATTTTTGAAATTTTCCTTTATGTAAATACAATATGTATGATGGCATACAAACACATATATTTATAAAATATACAAGTTATATATATATAAATGTAAAGGTTATAGATAAAGTAATTAATTGAAAGTAATTTGATGATGGATAAAGATGATGGAGGCGAGCCAATTTCAAACGTTCGTCAAAACAACATTAAATAATCCATTAGAAGACAGTACATTAGAAAATATAAAACTGCTTTTATTTAAAGTAAATTAACTTTCAATACACTTTCAAACTTTATAAAGTTTCAGCGATGTGAAAAATATATTTGAAACTGAATATTTATGGTTTAGATATTAAATTACAATTCTTTATAATTTTTGTGTATTCCAGTACTTTATTTAATTTAATAAAAAATGTGTGCATTAATAAATGGAGGCATTCTTACATTAATGTAAGAATAATAACCGGATTATTACATTAAAATTTTTTGGATTTTTGAAAATAAAATTCAACCAAAATAAAAAATGTAATTAATTATATAAATCATTTGAAGAGATGATTGCGTGCAATTGTAAAAAATAAGATTCTTATTTAGTGTTATTTTCAAAATATAGAAATAATTATTGATACTCATATATTTTTATATTGACAATAGAAAATGTACCGAACCAGATATGATAATTCGGTAAAATAGAAATAAATATCATTATCAAAGTATTAGAACATTAAGTAACATCCATAACGTATGTAAATAAATCAATTTGATATGATGACCAATTTGATAAGTTCGTACTAGAATTATAAATCCTTTCTGTAATACTGTTTGTTAATATTAATAACAAATAGTATAGTGTATATTTACAACAATAGTCTTTTATCTGAATATAAGAAACACAAGTATGTCATGAAAATCGGACACTCCCGCTTATATATATATATTTATATAATTGATAAGGTAAACTTATTGAATAATTATATATAATAATGATCAAATAATAAAATGATCAAACTGATTGATTTGTTTACCTTGAACTGATCAATAGTGTAATTAATAGTAAACAAAGACAAACAAACAATTATTTCTTTTATTATACTATAATGAATAATACTGTAGGATGTATTGGAAGTATTACAATTTCTTTATGAAAATTAAAAAAAGTCAAATTGCGATAACAATGTAAAGGGAATTTATACAAAATAATAACAAAAACGACAATCAATTTCTTTTCAGAATTATTTTAATACATTTATTATTAAACGTACTATTAAAAACGTTTATTATTAAATTAAATACAATTTAAATTGAAATAAAATAATGATTGAATAATAAATTAATCATAGAAGAGTCACACTAGAAATTCTCATAAATTGTCGAGTTTCATTTCAGCTCTTTAATAAACAATTGTTGATCACCTAGTTTATAAATTATAAGAATAAATTGTATAATAACATTTCAGTAAATATATGACAGTACTAGATATGTAAATATTTCAATCTATAGTAATATCATTAAGAAATCGGGAGAAACCTAAGTATATATCGTTGTAAAATTTCATTAAACAAAAATCTGAATACAGAATTGATAAAATCTTTTTTAATTAATACATCTTACTTTATTTAAATAACAATATAATAATATTGTGGGTATAATTAATTAGTATTAATTTATTATTTTCTAATGCTTGATTGCAATGTGGACATATTACATTACATTACAGTAAATTTGAAATGCTAGTTATTTCACCTTTAGGTTGTTCGCATAAATCAGGCTATTTTAGAAAACATACTCAAATGTAATGTAGTAAAAGTAAACATATATATTATGTAATAAATTGATCCATTACTTATTCAAAAAGTTAAATATAAAAACACAAAACTATGAGTCTAATGATCTTCAAAAATAAAATAAAAAGAATCAAATTATATAATTTTCATATATAATTCTAATAATTATTATGTACTAATGAAATCTAATATTTATTCTATTAAAAATTCATGAAATGTGTATTATATTCGAACTTATGTCTCGGTTTTTCTAAAATAAATACACGATAAAATACTAGATGTCTTAATTCACCGGGTAATTAAACTATCTCTTAATCTTTGTAATATATTTTGTAATATAGTTTGATATTTACACAATACTTTATTTCTTAATATATATATCCATTTAATTTATAAGCGAATAAAAAACCAATTGATTCTATTTAGTACAGTTATTTATATATTGCGTACAAATTCATTTTTACACACAGGGGCGGAAATGTAACGAGACAATAATCATAGTAAATTCTAAAATTTATTTAAAATGTTTCTATTACCAAATTTCTAACTAAAAATAAATAAAAATATATAAGATCGTTATGATTCTAAATATAATTGCAATGACAGTTTAATTTTAATATAGTAAAAAATTGTAATAAATATCACAAAATAACGACGAATTAAAAAATATACTTAATAAATTTCTTCCGTAACAGAATTTTAATTAAAATATCCACTCATCCTTAACTTTTATTATTTTTATATGTCGATTAGTGTGTAAAGTCATATTTTTTCCTGGCCAATTATACTATAAATTATAAATTTATATTTTGATAAAATGATACTGTTTGAGAATGAAAGACTCTCTTTTTTAATGCAATAAAACATCTGGCAAGTAACATCGTGAAAATTGTATTTAAGACTTCAAAACTTTCCTGCTCATAATTATTTAGCACTAGTGTCATAAAACATCTAGAAAACTCTAGTGAAACGTGCTCATGCTCCCAATGCAGTAGAACATGAGTTTATTGCCGGGAGAACCTAATGGGTTTATTGCCGGGGGATTTAAGAAGGGACAACGTAATGTACCTTCACTTATTCTTTTCTAACCCTTCACACACAATTGAAGGATAAGTCACGACTTACTCCCACGGAGGAGGACCGGAGAGACAAGTCGTTTAGCTGAGTTTAATAGAAGTTCTTTCTAAGATTGTGAATTAGTATACAGTTGAAATTGATCTCATCAAGACTAGATTGCATAAGACCAGACCACTTGTAATCTCACTTGGAGACAAGGAAAGAACTTAAGAGCTGCAATTATTACAAGGGAACTTCACATCAAACCAACGAAGAATGACTGGAAAATTCACGATACACTGCAAGTAAGTCCTTACAGCTAGTACTGATTCTTGATTTCTCGGCTTACGTAGAAAACGGACGGATTAAGGTCCGACTACCGAAGCTTCCCAGACATACTCTAGGAAAAGACCAGCTACAGACGCCACATTGGCTTTTCAATTCCTCCAACGATAAGTTGTGCTCGCCACAGGTGGCGCACAGCTTCGCATAACCTCTTTTAGGCTTTTATACGACCCATATTTAGAGGCAACTGCACACGTGTTAAGTTGAAACACAATAATATTGTAGTGTTCGATCAGAGCACTACAATAACCATAACCTCAAAGTGATAATATTCAATAGATTACAACCTACTTCTTTTTACAGTAAATCATAATCTCACCAGTTATATGCCGAGAATAAGAAATTGATCATCTTCTAGTTCTCAAATAAAAGGGTATATCTCAACGCCACAAGATTATTAAGAAATATAAAGGTCATTTGTAATTTCACCATGGTTAATGATTCCCACTTGGAAATAAAGTAAAATAAATGAAATAAACAGCAATAATAAAGATATGTGTTAATTATTGAATCGGCGCATTAACCCTTTACTTGCCCAGCAATCCCACACAACATCTAGTGGGTTTTTTGTTCTAAGTTGATTTTTGCACGTTTGGCTGACGAGTCAGATTTGTGGAATTATTTTCTGAACAGATGCATACACAAAAATTATTAACAATCAATCTACTTTATCGAAATTATAATTATCAATATTAAAAAAATAACAGTTTATTTTTTATTTACTTAAAATTTTCTGCTTGAGTTTTACTATAATATAAATTTTTTTTTTCTTACAATTAATTGTATATTATTATTCATAAAAAAATACGTTTCAAACTGTAAGTTTAAGGATTCTTTTACAATTTTAATTGTAAAAAAATATGTTTTCAATATTCTTTAAATATATAATAATAATAATATTTAAATAATAATATAATTGTATAGTTATAATAAATATTGTAACTAAAGCTATTTAACAATTATCCTGAATTGAAATTGATATTAATTTTAAATCTGTGCTTAAACTAATTTTTAATCCATAAATCTCATTTGAGTAGTCGTCTGAAGGAAGATAAAATTAACACTGACATATATTATTGATATGATATTGGTGCATACATAATTTATTGATATTTTTATTTTCTTGATAAAATAAGCTAAAACGAAATAAATGTTCTTCTATTAATTAATAATATGTGTATAATATATTTTATTTTCAAAATTAAAAATTGAAATATTAATTGATATAAAAATATATATAAAATTTTTGCAACAATTAAATCATTGATTAAAAACCATATACATTCTTATGTTATATAAAAATAAAACTGAAAACTAATTACAAAAATAGACTAAATAAAGAATGTTTTTTTAATATAATATTAGAATCATAAAGTAAATAGAAAATTCTTTATTTTATTTTTTATTTTTTATGAAATATAATGAATATGTAATTAGTAATGATAACATGTACATAGTGTATTTGATGCTAAGAAATTATATTTAATCGATTTAGTTAAAATATTTATCTGTCTTTATCTTTTATTCATTCCCTATAACTAAAATAATTAAAGATACTTCCGTAAACAGCACATAATACAATATTAGCAGTTGCAGTCTCATTCTGAATTTTTTGAAACTGATTGTATTATTTTTTAATCATTTGAGTATTTACAATATTTACAATATATATATATATTTTTTTTTAATTATTTTATTTATAAGTACAAAACTAACAATTACAATTACAAAAATGTTTTGTTTTTTTAATGAATATGTAAAAAAAATTATAATAAATGAATGAATAAAAGCTCTTGATAAAAACAACTGTGAAAATTAAAAAATTTGTGTTTCTTTATATTTTTCTATACTCTTACATCGTATTTATATTATGGGTTTTTAAATTAATGAATATGAGTGGAGTAACCACACAAAAAAATACTTACCATGCCGGTATTTGTTATTAAATTTAAATAATATTAATTTCAAATTTGCATGTAGAAAAATAAAACTATTTTGTTGTACTTATTATATAAAAATAAAATTTATATATTTATTGATTACAAGAATTTTATATTTATTACAATTTTATACATAAAAATCTTAAGATATATTCATATTAAAATATATAATTTTATAAATGTATTAAATCTAATAATATAATCGTAACATTCAAATATTGCTGTTGGATAACTAAGCAATACAATATTGTGCAATGCAAATCCTTTCTACGTAATCTATGCACTATATTATTTGAATTCAAATGAACAGTAGATTTTCAAATAATTTAACAAATTCTTTGCTTAAACAATTAATGTATATTTATATATGACGACTATATCAATTCAGTTATACAATAGCTCCAATATCTTAATGTAAAATAATCACTCAAAAATAATAACATACGTTGATGTACATGATATACATAATCAATATTTACACAGAATCTTAGTGAAAGTGATTTGTCATTGTAGTTATGACCATGTGTATGTATAATTAATTAAAATATATTCTTAGAAAAACTATGTAAAGCATGACTAAATTCAACGGTAATAAATATGAAATTTTATTAATTAAAAATAGTTTAAATAAATATAGTTATAATATAAATAAGTTTAAATATTTTGTAATAAATTAAATGAAATATATATATTAAAATTAAATATTTGTACACTTAAAAAATCGAAATTAATATGAGTAACTAATGAAATTTTACGTCCATTCTTAAGATTGTTCTTATATATTTATTTTCAATAAGGTAATCTATAAATTAAATTTTCAGAAAAATTTTTTAAAATTGTATTTATAATTAAAAATCATTGTTTTTAAGTTCCTCTTTATATATATTTTTATTTTGTATCTTTCTTAATTTGATCTTTAATTTCACGTTTATAGAAAAGAACTACATAAAATGAATAGTACAATTTAAAATTTTTTTAAAATTTCCAGGCAAAATAATGTAAGTTTAAATAAATAAAACTAATTAGATATTATCTAAATTTATTTAAATGTTTATATATATATGTTATACCGAGTTTTATTTTAATTACTTCTAAAGTTATATATATTTCATTATACCTAATGAACAATCAAGTTCTATCAAAGTAGTACATTTGCTTTACTTTTTTACTTCAATTTTAACTTTTAGTTTTATTATAAGCTTTACATAAATTTATTTCACTTTCCAAATAATTAAACTAGAATTTGTAATCATAATATATATTTGAATAAGCGGACTCTTTTTTATAAAAAAATATTGTTTTAATTATATTTTGCAATATGGATTTATCTTTTGAGTGTCTTCGCTCATAATACTAGAACAAAATTAATGAAATAATAATGAAAATATAGATAATTATAAAGAATTGAAAGTTTTTCAATTTTTATGACTATTCCTAAAAAAAAGATACTCCCATATTAATTATTCTATACTGCTATTCTATTCTATTATATTTTTTTTCTACTCTAAAAGAAATTCTTACGCGACAATTATATTTAGTTTTGAATATTTTCATTCAAATTTGTTATTTATGCTTAACATCGATTAAAAATATTTCTGTTAATTTTACTAAAACATTTTTATACAACTTTAATATATTTTTATTGGTAATTCATAGTAAAATTAACATGTTATAGTAATTGTGAAAACAGCCTTCTATTTTTTTTTATTTATAATTATTCCTTATTTATAGTTATTAACATTAACTAGAAACCTTAACAATTAAATATTTATCAATGATATTTTCAATATTAATATTAAAATTGAAGTATTATTTTAAATATTTTTTTACGCCAAGTTATATATATTTGATTACAGCATGGAGTCTATAAATTTATATTTACTTTATTTAATATCTTTACAACGAGAAGTAACATATTTAATATAAATTATAGGGTAGATTCTTATTCTCAAATTTCACAGATATTGTCTCATCATCGATGTTGATCGCTAGAGAATTAAGTAATTACATAATATAGATTTCGATTGAGTGAGTATTTTGCTCGTGAAATAATGCTTGCCAGGTATTATTGCATAATACTGAACTGAAGGATCATTTAGCTCTTGCGTATTACTAGAATTATGCTTTGACTATAAAAGTACAAAATATATGTAATATTAACAGATTTATAAGATACAATGTGGATGCTTTCAGTGTTATTATGTGCTTCCGTACTTAAGGTACTATATTGTCAAGATATTATAATAAACATAACTCAAGGAAATTTGAAGGGCATTAAAAGTACTACAGTTTAGAATGCTAAGCCATATTTTAGTTTTAAAGGTATTCCTTATGCCAAGCCACCAATCAAATTTGATGTGAGTGGTAAACAATATTAATAATTTATTAATAAATAATAATTGAATTTGTATACATTATTACTTAATTTGTTCATGTAAACATTCTTTCATAAAAACATAATTATAATAATTAATTTTTAAATATTGTCTTAATTTTCAATAAATAAAAATAAAATTCCATCTCTTTTAATTATTTAAGTTCATTACTAATTTCATCAAGAAATATAACGTTTTATTATTAATATTTGAATTATAATTGCTTTATGTTTAATATGAATATACAATAATATAATCTATCAATTTATTGTTCCTTTTAATTTTTTTTTTATGTAATTTTTTAAATTTGTCATATTTGTCTAATAGTTATTTTCAATCGTTCTCTTATATGTAGAGTCGAAATTTTTTTATTTTTCCATTCGCTATTTGTTTCATTTCTATCAATATATTCATGATAATTTTTTATCGTAATTTACAATATTTAATTCTAATCTATTTATAATATTTTATTTTTATAATTTTGTGTTTTTGATTATGTGTTATATTATCACATAGATAAAACTATATCTATACATTGTATTAATTATATTATTTATTGTAAAAATACTTGAATATATAGTTAACTTTATTTTATTTTCATACAACAGTTTTATTCTATATTTAATTTAAAACATGTGCTTTTTTGTATATTTAATATGCATTTCATTTTTGAATACAATTAAATCAATTTTTTCTGTTTCATATCCCTTTTAATAAATATGAATAATCAACAAACTAAATGAATATTAATTAATTTAATGATTTAACTAAACACTTAATAATTCTCAAAATGGTAAATAATTTATTGTAGTTTTATATTATTAATTTAATGACAATATTTATTTTTTATTTAATAGGCTCCAGTATCACCAGATTCTTGGACTGGCGTACTAGATGCAACGCAACATAGATCGACATGTGCATTTTTCTGTATAATAAAGAAAAGAGTTGTTGGTGGTGAGGACTGTCTTTATTTAAATGTTTACACACCTAATATCAATATAAGTACAAAAGGAGCCGTTATGGTATTTTTTCATCCGGGGGGTTTTAATTCTGGATCTGGTGATGATGACATTTACGGTCCTGATTTTCTTATTGAGCAAGATATTGTGTAGTAACATTTAATTCAAGAATAGGGGTTACTGGTAAATTTTTTATTGCCTATTTATAATTGCATATTGTTTAAATTAAATATTTTATATGAAATAGCATATACAGTATTTATTGAAATTTAATTTATTATTAATAACAAGGAAAACAAAATATAATATTTTACAAAGATTTTTGCTTGTAGTTGTATCATAAAATTATGAGAATTTTTAATAACTAATTTTACATGTAATTAATGATTATAAAAATAATTAATATTAATATTTGTAAGTATGAATTTGTATAATTGCTATTTTTATTTTACAAATTTTTCTCGTTTTTATTTAAACTAAAAACGAATTTCTCAGTTTTTACTTCTTAAATATATTGCAATAACTTGTAACATTCACAAAATTATCGCTTTTATTAGTACTAGATGCATAAATCATACTTTCATGGGTCACTAATGTTAACTATTAAATTCTCATAATACTTTAGCCACATTATTTAGGCACTCATATATGTTACCAGCTGATGTACAATATTTACTGTAGGCATTCTAATTGGCTTCATAATCATTGCAAATTTATTTAGAAATATTTGACAATAATTCGAAAATAAAATAAAACTACTACCAACTAATGAATTTCATGTGTATTTAATACAATTTATTTGTATACAATTAATATATATTAATATATATTTATAATAAATGAAAAATACAAAATAGTTATTAATTTAATTATTTTTTATAGTTTAAAATATTTATGCAATATAAATCATTTATAATTATCTTGAAAATATTAAATAGTTAAACTTTTAGTTAATTGTTACTGGCTCACGTAAAATATATTTTTACCAAAATTTGACGTAAATACAATCTGTTTTTCCAGTAGTTTAGATCATAATTTCAATGTTTCACATAATATTTTACGTAATTACATTATATAATTTCATAAAAAATCATTAAAATTAAGATAATTATTATAAATCAAATGAATACTATAAATAATTATTTATTTATAATTCTAGTGTGACCTACGATTACTGTTCATTCCATTAATTTAAATTTTCCATTAATATCTCGCATTCTTAAATGTCAGTAATAATAACAAAGTAAAGAAATCATGACTAATATTTTGTGACAATATATTTCTTTTCAAACTAATAATAAACTTATGTTGCAAAAAGTAAAATTACTCAGTTTTTGAAATTTCTTGTATTTTTTTTTATTTATTAATAAATTAAAAAGAATTGCCATTCAGTTAATTATTATTTAATTTATATAATCCTTAAACTGTTCTATTTTAAAAGAATTATTATATTATAATAATGAATTATACTTATTATTTAACATAATGGAAATTAATTTTTGTATCTTAAATGTACCTTAAGTATTAGCATATTGTATTAGAGATAGAATCAGCATAATAAATATGTTCAACCTAGTAGGTGAACATAATTTGCAAATTTTATTGCAATAAATATTTAAAATAGACTCTTTTTGTATACTGTGTGTTACATCTCCGATGTAACTTGTATGTATAATTATGTATGATTGTACTTGATGTATGATATGTACGAATTGGATCTAAATTTAGATGTTAGCACCTTTAGTGATACATTTACTAATTACTTTAATAAATTATTATTTACTTTTACTTTTTAATTATGTTTACTTTATTACCTTTTAGAGAGAATTTTTATTTCTAAAATATTTCTAATATGTAATAATTTAAATCTTTATAAACTACGGTATATTATATTACTATTAATAAATATAACATTAAGAATCATAATATTCATTTGATTTCCAATAGAAATCATTAGGTTTATATTTCTCCTAATTTGTTGTTGTTGTTTTTAATTATTACTTATCAAAGAAAATATAAGACGAAACTAAAATTATAAGAAAAAATATAACAGCTAGTAATTTACAATTAAATTCAATAGTCGTATACTTGATTTTTATATTTAAAATAAATAAGTATTAATCCAAGTTATAATATTACTTTATAATATTATTTTTTATTTTGAGACGTTTGGAAGGCAATAAAAAATAGTGTTTCTGGAAATCGTTAAGTATACGGTGATAATGTTATTCAGTGGTTTATATTTTAATAAACTCATTTCAATTATTAACGGTGTCTGATATTATTCATATATTTTGTTTTATAAAACATATTATATCGTTAGTTTCCATTTGAAATTTTACTATACAATGCTTGAATAAATTGAAAATTGGCTAAATTTATAACTTCCAAATGAACTTATTTATTTTAACATAAGTTATTAAGATAAATGTAATTTATTTTAAATTAAAACTAAAAACTTTCAATATTTTCAATAAAAAATAATTCCAAATAATATTCATTTAGTGTATTAAAGTGCGCCAAAAAGATATCAAATACTACATATTCAAGATATCTGTATTATGAAATAGTAATAATTTAAATGATAAAAATAAGCAGTTCTAGTATATTATGTCATAATTCTCACATTATAATATAAATAATTTTTTAAAACTAAAGTTCAGGTTCATATAAAATATGAAGTATGTTAAAAGTTTACTTTAATCAGAAAATTATGTATTTTTACTTATAAAATACAGATCTACAATTTAATTTTATAGGTTTTTTAAGTACTGAAGATGAAAATGCTCCAGGTAATGCCGGATTAAAAGATCAAGTTATGGTATTAAATTGGATCAAGGATAATATTGTAAATTTTGGAGGTTGTCCAAATAAAGTGACTCTTTTTGGTATAAGTTCTGGTTCCGCAGCAGTTCAATTTCATATGTTATCGCCATTATCTCGCGGTAATATTTTAATTATTAATCACAGGGTTAATCAATAAAAAATTAATCCTACTTTAATTATAATACAAATTTATTATAGGATACTAGAATTTGAAAAGGAAGATTTGATATAATTAAATAGAGATTATCGTTTGTAAAATAAATAAATGAGTTCTTTATTTGGACATATAAAATATTAAAAATATTTCCTACAAATTTTAATTATTAAATGATAAAATTCAATATTAACCAAAGGCATACATTTTTAAAATACAAAAATTTGTTAAAAAATGTATTATTATATTTAAAAAATGTATATATCTTAAATTTTAAGATTTATTTAGAGGTGCAATTATGCAGAGTGGATCTGCATTAAATACTTTTGCAATGGAGTACAATCCCAAAGCAATAGCTATTAGATTAGGTGAAATTTTGGGTATTAAAGGTACTAATACAAAGGAATTAGTGAATAAACTAAAAGAATATTCTATTCAAGAACTTATCATTGCAACTGCACAAATTACAAAAAGTTTGGTAAGCTCAAAAATATAGTTTAAAAATTTTTAATGCATTTAATACATATAATATATTATATGATGATGAGAAAATTCATTTTAATATTTTCAATATTCAATTTATTAATAATAAATAATCATATAATTAATTTAATGATACTTTGAATATTTCAAAATAAAACAATTTCAAATGTTTATACTTCAACAAATAAAAGGCATTTTTTAAATTTATTCATAATTTTTAACGATCGGTATTTATTTTCCTTATTTCATGTCAGAATCACATGAATGGGCATATGACTCCATTTGTTCCAGTTATCGAACCTGATGTCGGAAAAGGTATATTTTTAAATAAGGATCCATGGACATCGATAAAAAATAATGATATTGCAGACGTTCCAATTATGATTGGTATTAATTTAAATGACACTGCTTTTATGGCTTCTTGTAAATATTTTTTTTTTATTTTCACAAATAAAAAATGATAACAATAATGATAAATTTTCTTTTATTTATGTAGTATTTTTATCGAATGCAGAATTGATGAATCAGAATTTTGACTTTTTTTGCCGGATGACTTAAATGTTACAAATACAAAAAAAAAAACAAATTAGTGCTACAATTAAAAAATTTTATTTTGATGGAAAACCACTTACTGCTGATTCAGAAATACCCTTCACCATGGTATAGATGCATTTATTATTTTAATTTATTTATATAATTAAAATTTATTTATACTCAAATAAATATTAGAGTAATAGTATAAAATAATTTAACAGCATAAAAATCTTTATATGATAGTAATTTTTATACTGATTACAGATTTTTATTTACTCATAATATTTTAATGCAAATTTTACAGATGACTAGTGATATATTCTTTAATTCTGGTATTCTTATGTCTTCTAAAATAATAGGAAACAGAAACAAATCGCCTATTTACCAATACTTATTTTCATATGAGGCTCCGTTTGGACCAATAAAAAGTTTATTTAATGTAACAAAAGGTAGTTAATTTTCTTTTCAAATATTATTTATGTATATTTTACACTATATTAGTTGCAACAAAATAAAAAAATATTAATTTAAGAGAAAATTATTTTAAATTTAAGTATGAAATGTTAAACCTTATTATTTATATTATACCTTTTTATCAATGATATAATTAACATATTTAATTTTTTCTTAACATTAAAACAATAAAATTATTAGTAATAAGCAAATATATTTAGTAATTTCTAAATTAATGTTTTTTTTACTAATAATTATTTATTTCATTGTCAGAATAATATTTTTATTACAAAAACAATATTAAGTGCTTAATATAATTTAAAAAATTAAAAATTTGCATGTTATCCAAATATTGTGAATGGGATAAAAATAAAATAAATCAATATTGATATTAGAATAAATGATTTTTTTAATTAACACGTTGAAAATGTATAATAATAGTATAATAAAAATCATTTATTTCTATAGTATTGATTTAACTCATTTTTTAAATACAATACCATGTACTGAATTGTATTATTAAGCAATTTAATCAGAAACCATTTTTCATCAAATTAATTAATTAAAGAATATTTTATTTAACATTGTAACGAAATATTTAATTTAAATTATAAATAAACTTTTTACATCAATATTAGGTGTTGTTCATGGTGACGAATTGGGATATATATTTTATGGAAAGTATTTTAATAATACGCCGAAACTTGGGTTAATTAATGAGAAAATGATAAAAATATTAACAAAATTATGGGCAAACTTTGCAAAACAAATGTAAGAAATATATTTTATATAATTTATTTCAAATTTTTATTGTACATTGTAATAAAATTATATAATTATAAAGGAATCCAACGCCAATCTTGGATGATGATATTACAATTATGTGGACTAGTATGGGAATAGATGAAAATTATTTGAATGTTAATTTACCTATGAAAATGGAACATCTTTTCCAGAAAAGAATTAATTTTTGGACTGAAATATATAATAATAAATTAGGCGATTATAAAAAATTATTTAAATAAAATATTTTTTGAGATTTTACTGTACAATTATTCAATAATAATAAAATACTTATTATATATTAGTATTTTTTAAATACTTTCCAAATAAACATTATGAATCCTGATATAAATTTATTTATTATTTTAATTTTATTCTATAATAATATATTTAAAAACAAAATTTATTTTATATCGATATAAATATTTTTATAGTTGAAACTAACTTATTTATGATATATATGAAAACGTAAAACAGATACATGTCAGATCAGAGAAATAATTCAGAAATTAACTAGTGATAAAGATTATTAATAAATATAATCAAAGTATTTTTATTATATTCAATTTTTTTCATTCAAATAAGAATATCATCATATTACTAGCTAATGATAATCTATCACGATTACATATGATTACATATTATGCAATGAGCATATAATGCAAGTTGTTATAACACATAAAACACTTTTCAGTATACGTTAAATTTAAACAGCTATAGTTCTTGTGATTATTCCTTAATTTTTTAACAAATTCGAAGTGAATATTAGATAATTAATGTTACATATTAATAATAATAGATAATTTAATATTTGAAATTTTATTAGGAATATTAGAAAAGTTTTTTAAATAAAGATTCAATAGTACACCCGGATAACAAAATTTATAAAAATTATAAATAAAGATAAAAAATATTTGACTATAATAAAAATATTTACTATGGAACATATGTATATTTTTTGTAAATTTAATTTGTAATGTCCAATGCCTTTGAAAACAGTGCTTTTGAGAAGGTGAATTTTACAAATGTGTATTATAAAATTTTGGTCAATTTAGAAATATAATTTAAAGAAATGTATAGTTTATTATTATGTGAATAGTTAAATTGATTAATGTTCTTGCCAGATTAACACACGTATATTTCTTTTTTTTCTAGTGGAATCATTAAAGTGTGATCAAATTGTTAATTTAAATAAAATTGAAATTTATTTACATTTTCTATATTGTAGTTATACAATATAAGATTTTTATTTGCCTTTTTAATGCATCTACACGTTAATTAATTTTCTCGATTTTATATTAGTCTATAAAAGTTTTGAATTTTCGACTTTAATATTAAATAATTGTATTATAAATAAAATTGAATTGTTCAAGCAATAGAAAGTAGTTTTTATTCTATTAGAATAACATCTCGTTGATTTAAAGTTTAATGTATGCGATTAGTAGTTTATGCAAATTAATTAACGTAAAACACAGATCATAGTAAAAAATTTAACATTCCTAAAATGCATAAATAAAAGCGAAATTCTATGAATTTTAAAGCTTGAAAAAATTATTGTTTAGTATTGTATTAATTTGATGTTTCATTTTCGTTTTGATATTATTAGGATTACCATTTTAGTGTCTTACATTAAAAAAACCTTGTGAATAAAAATATTTATTAAGGTCTTTATTTCTAGTATGGATTAATATGATTGCTTTAGAGTAAAGGTTTGTCAAAATAAAACTTTCTTATATATATGTGTATGTGTGAATGTCTATTGGGGAAGAGTAAAGAATAAAAATTTATATACTTCATGATAAAATTTGTAAAAGTTAATAAATAATTTTCTGTTAAAAAAGAGTGTCTGCAATTCTTAACGTAAATAAGGGAAACAATCTATGGCGATCTTCCAAAGAGAGAAATCTGTCGGAAAGATTAAGAAATAATTTTAAATTAATTGCATTTTTTATTCATTTTCATTCCTCACATGTATTATAAGGAAATTATATTAAAATCATATGATAAATTTAACTATTTATACTGTGTGTACTTTGATATTTGAAAATTAACAAAATGAAAAATATGTTTTATAAAAATATTATAATTAATAATTTGAGATAAAAATAGTTTAGAGATTTATAATATTTTCAGACATAGTAATATAAATAATAAATCTTTATGTAATAATCAACGTGGATATAATGTGTATATACTATGTAGAATTTACAAGGTATCTTGGACGTGTACAGCTTTATATTTTTTATTATATATTTCGTATATGTTCACACGTATACTGATATATTGATAAAATAAATTTAGAATTTTAATCGATTTATTAAACTCGCTTTGCGTTAAAAGAATCTAGCTGTTCGTTCGTGTAATCATTAATTACAATATTAATTTTTGATAATTAAGAAATGCTTTGTATATTTTTGCAAACTGTTATTTTTTTATATTTGAAATCATGTAATATATATATTTTTATATTAATAATTCGAATATTATTGTAAATGTATTTACAAAAACTTAGTTACAAATTTAGCTTGTTTTTCAAAATGACTATTTATATAATATAACATATAGATACAAAGAGCATGAACATATTTATATTCAAATAATATCAAGACTTGTTTCGATCGACATTTTAAAATAAATTATTAAACACGTGTTCATTACTATGGTAAATATTTGTTTGTTATTACGAAAAAACGTAAATATGAATAATTTATTTTATAAAACTGCATATACATATGTATATATTGTTAATTTCTACAATTAACAGAGTAATATTTAACGAAAGACTTGATTCATAAATCATTTATAAATGTTGATGTCTAAAATATTTAAATATTATTAAATTATAGGTTGTCATTAGAATCTTTATTATATAATTGAATCAATATTACAAAAATTCAAATTATAATTATTTATTAAAATTAAAACATCTTTTTAAAATCATTATTTTTAAAGAAAGAATTTATATTTTCTATATTGATTTTTTTTTAGTATTTTAAGAAAATTATGGTGTATAAAACGAATTTTAATATTACTCTCTTACATTTTCTATAATTATGCATGCATTTAAGCTCTTATTCCTATATATGACTACACATATTTAATGTGTTAAGAAGTAAACCACAACTCTATCTCATTTAACATACAACATTAAACAGTATCTTAATAATGCTGATATACAAATCGGATTATTTTTTGTTGTCTATATAATAGTATTTTTAAAATTTTTACAAATTTAAAATATTTCTTAGTTTTTTTCAATTAATAAAAATATTGATATTTAAAAAATAATTAAACATATAACAAATAAATAATTAATATTAATATTATTATTATATTCTATTCTATAACATGTTTATTATATTTTATATATGTACTATTTTAAATACTTAATTAAACTTGTATATTCAAATATAAATATATATATATATATATGTAACATTTATTTAAATACAATCTGAATTATTGTACAAAAAACATTACAAATATTAATTGCTAAATTATTAATTTTTATGATCGATAGATTTTATACTAATTTTCAATTCTCATCCAGTATCACTCTTTACCTTTTTTTTTAAAGATTAGTTGTCTTATTATGTATTATATATACAATGGTAAAATTTTTATAAAGATTTGTTAATTTATTATTTTAGTATATATGTGTATGTACAAATATATTTATATAATAACAATACGTTAAAGTCAAATTTTTCTGAACTTGTTCTAATTTTATATTTATATATATAGACATTGGCATAATTTTAATCATGTATTATAAAATGATCTTTTCTTAATATCTCATTTAAACTAAAAAATCAACAAAACACATCACAATCACTTATATCAAATACATGAAAAAAAATTGTTGTACATTTTAAAATAACGATTAAATCTGACATGAATAACAAATATGAATTTTTCTATATATTACATAAATTTTTATTAAATAATAATCGTTGGCAGATTTAACGTTTTTCGAAATGTAGGAATTTTTATATTTATCAAAATTAGAAATATTTTAATTTTATTTCTAAGAAACTGATAAAATATTAATAAAAGATAACAAAACAATTACATGTAATTTATAAAATTAAGCTAAACTGCACTTCTGATATTATTACTATTTTTGTTTATGTTAATGACATCTTTGCTTATTTGTAATAATTCAATGCACTGTTCCAGTTTTGCCTAATCAGTTAGGAATACTACACTATTTTAAGAGAAAAATATAAAAGAACTAAATAAGACTTACATTTCAAATTCCTGTAGACCTAAATTAAAAACGATTTTAATTCAACATATGCTAAATTATTATACCAACTATTATTTCCTGCTTACAAAATATTTGTGAATATAATAATTTGAATCAAGTCCAATTTTAATTTACATGATTTTCTTGTTAGTACATTTTAAACTAAATTATATATATATATATATATATATATATATATATATATATAAGAAAATTGTATTATCTTATCATTTTAACAATGGAATGTATATATACATGTATGCATATTATATATGTATTTACATTATATATATAAACATATTTATATACATAATATTAACTTTTTTCATTTTATAATTAAATACCAATATTACCAATACAGTAGTTTTACGAGTTTTTAAGTTACTTGGGGTGAAACAAAAACATAGTTATAGAACAAGTATGGTGAGAATATATGTCCATATGACATGTGTACTAAGTGACAAATAAAATTAGAGAAAAAATAAATTAAAATCAATTTTATAAAGAATTAATAAAATAATATAAAGAAATAATATAATCTTTTATAATAATAATTTTATAAAGAAAATGTATAGTATGTACATAAGTGCCATAGTATTTTTGTCTTTATCTTATAAAGACAATAGGAACAATTATGTTTACAAATTTATGTTTTTGTTTTTATTAAAAAGTTAATCTTACGGATGAAGTTGTCAATAAAATTCATTGTTTCTCATTTTTAACTTTACTATACTCCTTTACTTTTTCTGATTTATTATTATTTACTTATCAATTTCACATAAAATTATTGAATGTATTTATATAGCTGTAATTTCAAATGTCATCTTTTCTCGACATTTTCATCAATTAATATATTATCAATAAAATATATTACTTAATAACACTAAATGTATGTTTCTTTCCCTTTTCACTTATTATATGATTTTTTTGTATTCATCTTGCTATCTAGTGATTAAATACTTACATGTGACTGAAAATGTATGTATGTGGTATTCTTTATACTGTGTAGTAATTATCATAGAATAGAATTTTTTATTTCTTCTCAATGCATCTGAAGTTTATTCTTCTTTTCTCAATTTTAACATTCTGAAAATGTTTTATATATTTAACGCAGTAAAAAATTTTAGTAAAAAAACTAATATAAATAAATTATTCATACTTTATAATGCAGGAGCTGCACGATACAAAGGATTTTTGCCTCTGATTGGAAGAAGGTGAGCCTCAGAATTAAATACCCATTCATCTAGGCTGATAAATTCATCATCGCTGAATAATAAATACAGGTACTGAAAATGAATAAATACTATTGAAATATTATTGAACAAACTAATAATTACAAACAAGATATTTTATTTTAAATATAAAGAACAATAGCTTCACACTAAAATAATTGTCTTTAATTTTTAAAAATAATAAAAATTTCATTATATAAAATTTCATATAGATTATTTTATTATATTTAATAAGATATTTCATACATCTACTAAAGAATATCTTTTTCAGTAGTCTAATCGTAGAAAATTATTTTAGTCTATATACAAGTGTAACTATATTTTTGAAATTTATCGTATTGATAATAATTCACATATATGTATTATTTTTATTTTTATTTATATTATTATGACAAAAAACAAAACTTATACTTGAATAGATTGCATTTATCCATTTTCTATCATTACGTTAAAAAAAATATGATACTAAAAATTATAATTAAATAATTTTATATTCAATGAATAATAAATTTGTAATAAAACAAATAATAAAAAAAAATATATACAATTAAATTATTTTCAATATTCAACTGTATAAATTTAATTATATTTATTAAAAATTATTTAAAATCTTAAATAGTAAAAATTATTTATTAATTCAAATAAATAGTTAAAAATCTCAACTTGCTGTTAGAAATAATGATTTGCCTTTTTTTTATATGTTAAATTAGTAATTTAGCAATCAGTACATAACAGGAAAGCAGTATTTTTATAAATATTATAGTGACTGAATTAAATTTCATTTAAATTTATCTAAATTGAAAGACAAATTCTTACTCACCTTCAATGTTTCAGCAAAAAAATAGCTTTGTTGAACATCATCCTTTTGTGGATCGAGTTGGTAAACATTGTGAAGGCCAGTATAACCGCCAGGGACACGACAATGCGTCTCTAAAGCTTGAATGGCTTCCCATCCCCATTCTCGATATTTCGGATCTTTCGTTAGTCGCCACATCACGAAATATGACTCAAAAGTCTATAAATATATGACATCATTTAAAAAATATATCTTATATTAAAAGTAGACCAAGATTAAATATATTTCAAATTTATAAATTTGACTTATAAATTTATATAATTTTTCTGTTTATTTTTCAATGTGAAATATGAAAAGTAGATGTATGTTTGTGCATTTCGAATATATAGGATAAGTATCATTAAGTAGAATATTATCTTATATTCAGCACAAAGATTATGTAAATGATTATGATGATTAATTATGTTTAATTATTTTATATTTCGTAATATAGATTTAATAATTCATTATCCAAATGTATAAATAATAATAATATGTTTATACAATATATATTTATTCAGTGTTGCAGAAAATATTATAATGAAAAAAATTGTGAACATTAAGATAAGGGTATGAAAAATTGGTATTTAAACGATAATAAATTTGTAATTTGTATGCATTTACTGAAAAGTAAATGTTGGGCAGATGCATTATTAATTTATTTAGTTTATAGAAAATATGATATAAGAGCATTTGATGATTACTTTTATATTTACTGATAGATAATAATTGTTTATACATAACAATTTTAAAGTGTAGATGATTAACTTCTTATATGAGTGTTTGTTATTTTAAATAATTTAAAAATTTTAATTTTTGTTCAAATTATAATACTTTAAAAATGCATATATATTGAACAATATATAATAGGTTTGTACAAGAATTTCATTAATACAATGTCAATTAATACTAAATAAATAAATAAATATATTAATTTTATGTTTAATATTATAAGCTATTCCAAACATTGTTGTAATATAACATCCGATTTGTTTCAAATTATTCAGTTCTTATAAGTTTACCAGAGGAATGTTAATTGATTTAAAGGAGAGTATATTGAATACATCATAAGTTTACAAATAAGAAGTATACTAATAAGAACACTTCAACTTAATATACTATAATCTAATAATTAAATAAACTTCGAAGTATACGATAACATTCAATTGAAATAAATATAATTGAGTTCACATAAATTTTGCAAGGTACCAGAAAGATTCATATACCAGAAAATTCAAATACCAGAAAATGTTTAAATTTATGTAAATTAAAATTTATTTATTTATCTAGTTGCATCGCGTCGAACGAAAAATACATCAATTATAATATAATTAATGGAAAATAGAAAAAATTTTCAAAAGACTTACTTCGGGTCGTAAGATGTAATATTTTTCTCCATTTTTTAAACTCTTTGCCTCGTTACCTTCTATAAAGTGAAATGCTTCGGGACCAAGTTTGGTAGCACTGCGATCATAAGATTCATGACAAGTGTTTGTCAGTCCGGCTGCAATATCCATGTGTTGGCTGCTCATTTCGCTTTTTTGTGTTTTAGCTCCGAGAGCGAACATACCACCTACAAAATAAAAGTTAATAGAATTTTTTTCAATTTATATTAATTTAATAAAATTAATTTTAAAAATAAAAAAATATAATATATTATATTTTCTTATACTTAAAGATTTAAACTTAATTAAAATTTATTAATGCATACACAATAATACATATATAATGATAATGGTGCCATTTTATATTCACAAATAATGAAAACTATTATTAACTAATTGCATGATATTTAGTATAATGTTTGATTTATTGTCAATGTATATGTACATTGGAAAACTTTTTGTTCTACTAGCAAATATGTATATATATATATATATATATATATATATATATATATATTTCTAATAATGCTTCCCAGCTCTGTATGCCTCTGTAATTATTTTTCTAGTACCAATTATATAATAGCAGCCATTCAAGTCATTAATCAAACCAAAACTTAAAAAAGATATAGGCACTAAATAGGATAAACATTTTTAATCAAATCCAACAGACGTATACATTTTACGCTGCAAGCAATAAGTCCAATTCGAAATGGATTTCTCCAAGTGATAGATGTTCAATCTAAGAGTGATATTTTTAGATTATAGTTAACAATCTCGATTCATTAGCTTATTTTTATCTCACTTAATACAATATAATCTAGAAGACTACAAAGTTAAATACAATAATCATTTATTATTTGATAAACTGTTATCAACCAGTTTAATTTTATCCATGATATGGATTATTCTAATGAATATTTATTGAATTAACTCTTTGGCTGCTTCATTAACATTCACTAATATTTGAATTAATGTAAATTCATAAAAAATTGAAATATCTCAGTCCTAAAATATATACAAATATTTATATTAATACTTAACATGGTTATTGTGCATTGAATGTTGAAGATGAAATGTAATTTCTAATGATTTAATAACTTCTGATTTAATTTCATTCTTGCTCTAAACAAATATTCAATACATTGTTTTTATCTACATTTTATGCATTTAGCAGCTTACAGCAAGCATAAGTTATATAACATAACTGAAACTATATTTTTGATCTATTATTATTTTTGATATTATAAAAAACGCCATATATGAAAATATTCAACGCAAATAGAACAAAATAAAATATATGCAGAATTTATAAATGAAAATACAGCATTTCAAATGAATTAATAAAATTAAATAAATGAAATAAATTTCATTGATCAATGAATCAATGAATAACATTTCTTTAAAGTTTGAAAATTTCAGATTTCCATTGACGTATATATATATACATATATATATATATATATCTTACCTGCAAAACAAGCAAGATGACCCATTTTATGTTCAAGACGTTCGTATTGTAAATCAGAAGCATACAGGAGGCCACTAGGTGATTTGATAATCATATATTTTGTAATCGCATCCATTGCTTCATTGTACATTTCACGTGCTTCGTTATCCTCTTTACCTGACTGAATCCAGGCTTTTAGCAGATATTCATAAAAACTGTCACCTAGACCTCCCAATGACATATGATCTAAAAAAAAAATATTTTATTTTATTTACTATTTATTCGTATGACTTATACAATATTTAAAATTAAACTAGAAAGTATCTACTCCATACTTTTATAACCTTATAAATATTGTAAATAATATAAAGTACTGAATACATATAATAACATGTACATAAGAAAATTTTCGTTGACCATAATATAGTTAATATTTAACAATTTTTGACACTATAAATGTATTAAATTAACCTGAAAATATCAGAATAAGGAAAGTATCACCGAAATATAAAGATATATGGAATTTCTATATTCACGAAATATTCAGTTATTACAATATTTTCGTGAATATCAGTACTGTACATATAATTCATCGATAAATGTCTTATTAAGCTAATTAATTAAGCAACATGATTAATCAATTAATATAAATTACACTTTTAATAAAATGAAATCAGAATTTAAAAAATTGTTCTTGGTGAATATATATAGAGAAAAATAAATTTTAATAACTTTATATTTTTATTTTAATACACATAATATTTTCTTATTATTAAGAAAGAAAACAAATATTTAGATCCATAATATTTTAGTAATATATAAGAAATTATTAAGCACCGACATTCCCATTACATAAAATTTATTGTATAGGGTTCACGTGAATAAAGTAAAAGATATTTTATTGAAATCGGTAATGAGAGAATTTTTATGAAAATTAATTTTATTATCACTACAGAGAAATTACGGTTAAATACAAGAAGATTATCTCTCCGGCCATAAATATACACGGGATAAACAAAGCATAAAAAAAAACTATAAACAAACTTACGTCTTCCCCATTTACCAGTTTTTGGATGAATATAATTTGGATACAATCCTTTAGGTTTTTCAAGATTTTTTAACGTTTTCCGGACGTGATCAACCTTTGATCTATATATAGGGTTACCTGTAATATCACTAAGGTACGTAAATTCTAAATGCATGGTTCCTATTTCAGAAAGAATACTACAGCCACTACTTGCCCATCCGTAATTTTTACTTGCCTAAGAAAATGACAACAGAAATAATTAGAAATATTTTATTAAATACATATATTAAAATAATTTCTTATTAAATATAATAACTATGTAGTTGATGTATCTTATTTTAATTTTGGTTATACTTCAATTATTTTAATTTTGTTTAATTATTTTAACTTATTTTAATTTTTGGTTATACTTCAATTATTATTTGATTAATTTTCCTTCTACCATTTCTTTCTATATTATGTGAATATAATTAGTCTATTTATAAATTATCCAATTTCTATACAATGTATATACAAAACTGATGCTATTAAAACAAAATAAAAAATCAATAAATCAAATTAATATAGTTTCAAATAAATAATGAAACGTTCTCAATACTTATAACTTAAATAAAATATTTAATCAAAAAGCAGAAATTACAACTACATTTAATACTACAAATGCTTTAAAGCCTTCAATCAAACGGAATCAACGTAGAGCAATCATTAAATACATGTACCATATTTTACTAAATTCTGAATAATTATAACTATTAAATTTTGTGGTATAGATTTTTAATATTAGGAATACTTTTTGTTTAGAAAAGGTGTTTTAGTGTCCAAGATTGTACTTTTGTAAACAAGAGAATGAAATACAGATACTCTGTATAATAGTTACATTAGTTTTTACTAATGAAAAAGAATAAAATTTCACATATAGTAAAAATAATTAGTTTAAAATACACGTATAATTCTTTATTAGATAGTTTCTTAAATAAATATTTAAGAAAGAAAATTAACTATATTAATACTTGTTGAAATATATAAAAAATAAATTAAAAAATGGTATTTCAAAAGTACACCGTAATGGAGCAAACAAATTTAAAAAACTGAGTAGACAAAGGGCAACAAAATATTAATAAGAAAAGAATAAAAATACAGATAATTATGCAAAGTTTAATGGTAATAATATAAATCCGTTTTCAATAATTAGGTACTCGTTACGTAGATCCTATTTTATACACATTGTGGTAATATGGATTAGGTCATTAATATATGATCATATTATACAATGATTAGTTAATTAATTTTATTAGAAAATAAGGAGATTTATGTTCTTTTTTAATGACTTATGAAAACAAACGATTCATTTAATTGAAATAAACTAATCTAATATACTTGTTACATCATCACGTATAATAAATTTTGTTTGAAAATTTTATATTGTAGATTTATTCATTTATTTCATCACATTCTATTACAAAGATTATAAAAAGATTATAAAAAGATTATAAAAAGATTTAAAAAAGATATTGCGATTGCTTTTCGAAAATTATTTTAAAAAATAAACAATTTATGAATGTTAAGAATAAGACAATATTACATATAGTAGCACTTCGATCATCAGGTAAATACTTTATTACTTAGATGTATCACACATTTTTAATGTTAAATATCGCTAGTTAATGTTTATATTAATACTAAAATCAAAAAAATAATTGACACTAAATATATACTAAAAAGATTTCTACTTAAATGATATTGAAAGACTTAATTCCACGAGTGAAATGAAAAGTAAGCTAGTGTTGGGAAAAGTGACAGAAAACACGAAGTTGGATAAAGGTCTTTAGTAATATAGTGATAATTTATTCATAATATGATTAGCTGAAAAAAATTTGTGTAAAACATTAAGAAAAGTTGTATTAACTCTACTTACTCCAGTGTGTAGATTTATAAGAGAATGAGGTATTCCAGTTTCTGTTTGAAAGGCAGGTAACATTCGTTCTCCCAGCTGTACTGCTTTCTCACGAAACATTACATCGCCGGTGAGAGCATAACAAGATAAAAGGCTCCCCATAAAACGAATATTTGTTTCAAATAAAGAGATTTCTGAATTCTGAAACATAATATTTCAAAACTAATTATCAATTAATTAACAAATGTATAGTATATTTTATGAACCAAAAGAAAAACTTTTAAGCTTTGAGAAATTATCGTTATATAGATAGTTTTTAATGAAAATAATTGAATTAACAGGCCTATATATATTTACTAAGTTTTTTCTTCATAAGTATCAATGTATAGTTTTTATTTTTTGTCGGTTTTAGTTACAATATAATATGATTTATTAACTGAATTAATGAATTAATAAGTGGAAGAAATTCAACTAAAAAAAGGTAAATAAAAAAAATATGTTGACCGCAGTTAAAGAAAATATACATATATATATATATATATATATATATATATATATATATATTATATAAGTAGTGCATGCTTTCATCAATTTATTTTCCAAACTGTTTATATTATGAAGAACTCTTTCTGAATCTTGTGACCGAGTTTTAAAGAATTAACAAAGTATAATGTCAAAAATTAAATATTCATATATTTTCACCAATAAAATTTGTTTTAACTTTATAATTTATAATAAAAATTATTAAGCCGTTTTTCATAAACGAAAACTAATATTTTGAATTAATTAACCTTACAATTACAATAAAATTTCTTGATAATTAACTGAAAACACTAACTTGTGTACTATAATAAAATAAAAATTATTAAAAAAGAACTAAAATAAAAAAAGCTTTAAAAATAGTGGAAATGAAATAAAAAACCCAAAGTTTTTAATATTGTAAAAAATGATTCGAAAAAATAAATATGTTTAAAATTATTCTAAATAATTATTTTTTCGATAAATTTTATAGAATATAAATATAATTTTTATATTATAATGGATAATGAAAATATATGTAATATATAAAATACATTTACAATACAAATTAATTTGTTTGCCAGATTGATAATGCGGAAAGACAAAACAATAAGATTAATAATAATTGGATTGAAAAATGTATTTCCTCATATACTCTATATTGAAGGATTTTAACATTAAAGCACTATTTAGTTTCAACTTGTGTTAAATCAAGTAAACTATTTTTACATAATCGATTTTTAAAATAATTCTACGTAATAATATTTTATACTAATTATCCATTAGTCCCATCTATACAAAACATGAACATTTTTATGACGTTCTGTTTATTTCATCGCTTAATAGATGATACTATGACTTTATCTAACCCATCCTTATCTATATATCTTTAACAATGTTACAAATTCTGCACTGTAAATATAAATAAATTGATCAAACTATAAATTCCAATAATTATAATTATTTAATATGAAATTTCATTTTAAAATAATATGTACTTATTTTCAATATTATATATAAAAAATATAAAAAATATTAAATATATTCGATAAAATGGGTATGAAGGCAATGAGAAATATTTGAATAATATAATTAATAATATTCATAACATAATTAACGAATTTAATCAATTTCATATTCAAAAAATTTGTTTAAAAATAATATAAAATTAATATAAAATTTTAAGATCGTGATATATAGGTCGGTAATATGAAATTCAATAAATATGTAATATCCTGAAAACTTTCATTTTTATGAGAAAAATTAGTACAAACAAATATAATAATAAACATATAAGAACATTTTAATTTAATGAGTTCTAAAAAAAGCAAGCTTTAATTTTTGTTGCCAATAAATTTAATTTGTCTATTTAGTTTCCAATTTACATATGTTTTAAAATTGCATGTGTCGGTTTAATTGTGTACTTAATAAGAATTCTACACTATTGTCAGAGTAGATATTGGCTATACCAAAAAATAAAGAAGAAAGCAAAAATTAAGTCGATAAATTCAGAATAAAAAATAAATACTAATATTGATTCTTTCACATTTCAATCTTATTCAAGTTTATGTAATTTAGGTATGTGCAAGTATAAGTTAATTAAAAATATAAAGATAATTATTTATAATTAATATTATTATTAAATGATATATATTTTTAGTTAATGTTAATGTTTATGTAATGCGCAGTAACAAAAATATCCTTACTAAACAAATTAATATTTTATATATAACTTTAAATAGTTTAAATAATTAGTACCCTTTCTTAGCCCATGAAAAATTTTGTGAATAAATAAATAATATTTTAATTAATTAATATGAGCGAGATTATAATTTCAATAGAAACAGAGGGAAAACGCGACAAGGTTTAATCTACAGTCTTTAATTTAATCTTTAACATTACTAATTATTTCCGTTTAAATATTATTAAAAAATAAATTTAATTTAATAATGTAAATTATAAAAAATAAGTAAAACGGTTGTTTTAATTTTATTTAAAAATGTTAAACAAGGTATTAATAAAAAAGTATAGATAAAAAAAATGAATGAAAATTACATTTTTAGAAATTAATATTTAAATTTTTCAATGAGTCTATAAAAAAATAGTACCTTATTATTTTTATTATATATTAAATACTAAAGTGCGAAACGAGAAAAAGTATCTTTACCTAGTAAATAAAATACACTTACTAAACTAAAATGAAATCGATCTTTATTCTGTTGAATAATGTACATCAACGAAGCAAATGAAAATCTAAAAGTAGTGGAAGAATGTTTTCGATAATAAAATAGTCGTATGTCAATAGCCTGGCTCCTTTTAACGATTTTTGAATCGCAAAATTATATATGTATATACATATATATTCGTAGCGCTTCGTTAAAAAGATTAAAACATATTTCTCTAAAAATTTAATGTTCACATTTTGCTTAATTTAGCAAATATATATTTTTTTAAATAAAAAATATACTATAAAACATTTAAAAAAATATTCTCCTGCTTGATTTGAACAACTATTACTTCAAACATATCATATAAAATTCATACATAGAATAATTAATGCTTGGACGATCTACAAAAACAACTTTAGTAAAAATTTCTAGATTTTTTAAAATATGTTAATATTATATTTGAAATAATGACAATTTTATTACGGGCAGAATAAATTCGTAACAAAGTAAAAATACTAGAGATCATTAATTTAAGATGAAACAATTGCAACTAATCACGATTTAAATAAGTTTTTGTTTTATGGTATAAAATTTTGTAGAATTTTATAAGTTAAACATTTAAAAGTGAGAAAATAATAAATTTTTTACAAGAATTGTTTAAGTTTATCACACTTTTTCAGAATACTACAAAAATAATATTAATATTGTCATACCTTTATCCAATCCTATAAATGCTTTATATTGTGCTTGGCACTAAAACGATCTCTAGATTCCAAACACATTACATTATGATCTGATTAATGTTTTTTTTTAACTGGTCAAGAAATCACTCCGACCTATTTGAGAATCAAATTAATGTATATCTAATTATATATAGTTTGTAAAATAAACACGCTTGTTATGTTTGTATCCTATTTTTTAATAAATATTAAAAAAAATTTCCTTTGAATTTATATAGTCACAAACTTTTCATTTAATTATATATTATGATGAAAATTAACTACAATTCGAATTTTCATGACTGTCATGGAGAACAACTACTCTATAACAAAAGCATAGTTTTTTTATAATGATACTATACTTTTTTGCTATTCGCAATGCCACTTTTTCCTCTGTTGTACATATAAATTCAAGCTTTAAAAGAGATATTTAAATTAGAGACTCAAAAGGTTTATTTTAAAACTTTATTGACATATCATTTGTCACTGTGTCATTCTGTTATTTTAAAGCTATGTAAATAATTATAATAAATAATTTCTTATTTTTTAAATATATTTAAATATATCGAAAAATATAGAAAGAATTATATATTTTTAAATGTTTTTAAAACATTTTCGTGTTTCATTATTAAAGTGAATATTTAATAGTTCATTACTTAACACTGATACTTACAATATCAAAATCGAGATTTTGTGCAATCCAGTCTCTTCCTTGCTTAAATTCTTCACGAAGTCCCATTATATACAGAGTATCAAGACCATCGACTATAGTGGCCCCCATCGTTGAACTACCAAAAATACTTGCACTGTGACCCCTTTTAGAAATTGGCCGCAACTCATTTTTACCCCAGGCATATCGCACATAATTGTCCCAAGCGTGTTTCATCATCTAAATGAAAATAATTAAAAAAGGAAAACATTTCAAAATTGATACCATAATTTATTAAATCAATTTGTAATTTACATATGAATCAAGATTGATAATAGGCAGAAAAATATTGTTATATATTTTAAATAATACAACTTATGAGAATCAATACCTTGACAATTTTATCTAAACAACGTTTGATTTTTTTTTTAAATATATAGATAGACTATTAGTTAAAAATTTTGTTAAATACTTGTAATAGTTTACGAACAAATATACATTTTATAAGATATAAATTATAAAAGTTCGACAATTAAGCATTATTTATTAATATATTGGTTTGAATTGATGAAAACTATTTGCGGCTATTTCGAGTATATTTGTACATTGCAGTGATTTAACTAGATTAGATATTAGGAGTATTAAAAGTTTATTTTTTAAGCTTGATATTACCTAAGATAATTTAATCTTTTTTAAACAATTATAAAATTCATAATTAATTAATTTATAATCATACAGTTTTTATATTACTTGATCCGATCATTTCAGTTATAATTATAAACTAAAATTATTTTACAAATAAAAACTTTAAACCTTATAATAACAAGTTAATATTATAATTACATAATATTCTAATATTAATAACAGTTGTCATTAAATTTAAAAAATTAACAGATTAATGATAATGAGAAGATATTAGTTTGGTTCATTAAAATTATTTAATGTAAGAGATTTGCAAGGATTGATGGATATATGTATACAAAAATATTAATGTACAATATCAGTTGATTATTCAAATTCTAAAAAATATACTAATCTTAGATAATTAAAAAGATCAACGATTTAAAATTTGAGAACGTATAAAATAAAAACATAGTTATAAAATATTTGTTAAACAATTGTTACACGACCACATAAAGTAGTTCATATATAATTAGTAATTTAAAATTGAAAATTGAAACACTAAGTAAAAAATTTCAATTCGTTCAGTAGAAGCTATTGAAAACATCATTCATTTTTAATAAGAATATTAAATTATTTTAATGTTATCTTACCTCTTTTACTTTATTTCTTCGATGCCGAGTGATTGCATCCTGGTCCTCTCCTCCTTCAGTCTTTGGTAACTTTTTAGAAGGTTCAGGTGGCACAGTTTCATACATATTAATCCATTGTGAAATCATAAAAGTTGTTGATACACTACTACTACGCAATCGCAGTTCGCTAAGCATTTCTGGCTTTTCTAAAGTTTTTTGATTCTGATATTCTTCATCAATTTTTGCCTGTAATATAAAGCATATGTTATTATATTGTTTTGAATATCTTTTGGACAAAATAAAAAGTTTTTGATAATATATTATTATATAAAGTATGTATTACTTGTATATGAAGTTTTAAAAATTATACATTAAATGAGTAAAATTATATAAATCTAAAAATTTTCATTTGAAAGCTAATTACGAGGACGAACAATGAAACTATACTGCGAGACTTATAGAAATTACAATTATCTTTTAATTTCAAAGAAATTAAATTTTTTATTATATGTAATTTTTATAAAGCAATCTTTATGGTTGTTTTTTTATAATTTACAAAATATCAAAACTAGTTTTGAGTTTTTAGTTGAGTTAAAATAATAAGAACATTTTTTATATTTTTTTTAATACAGTTCTATATAAGTGTTAAGTTTTTTTTCTTGAGTAGGTGTTACCGATTAAGTTTTTAAAATTTGTGTTTATAGATCAAAACCAATGAAAGTTTCTAATAATTTAACGCTTTTACAGTTTAATATTTATTTGATTTATTTCAATTTAATATTCAAGTTTTATTTAATTTCTTTTTCCAAAAATTTTACTAAATTTATCGACATTTACTTAAAAAGAAATTATATATTTTATTGTAACCCATTTATGTGCTTTATTAAAATACAGTATATAATGATAAATCATAAAGAATCTCAAATAAATTGACAAATTGACTAATTGGTATATGCATCACAAGATATTTACAATAAAATATAAAAATGGTTGTGACTTGTATTATTAAGAAAAAAGCTGGAATATTTTTAGGCTTAGAAGTTAATAATTATTTAAAAAATTGAGAACCAAATGAGAGAAACTTAAGGTGTTTTTTGTCATGTATTTTCATTATATTAACTTAAGACATTTTTGTTGACGTTGAATTTATTAATAGAGGTAATAAAAATCTTCCAAGCAGAACAAAAAATATTTATGTTTGAAACAGTTTAAAATATTTGCGTTAGTAAAAAATAGCGTTGATCAACTTATATGTTCAATTTATATTATATGAAGTAGGTAACTATAACAACACAGACTAATAAGCGATTTTTTATTTATCTGAGACGCTGTATATAATACTCTCATTTATTATTAATGATGGCCAACTAGTCATAAGTAAGGAACATTTTGTTAAATTCTAACTACTTCTGCCTGTCATTATGTAAGAATAGACTCGATTTACAAATAACGAAATTAAATATCTCAGTACAGTAAAGCTTACATATATTTTCTCTTAGATATAGAAATATTACGTTTCTTAGGAAATGATATGGTCATATTCATAGGAACTTTCAATATTGTCAGACTTTTACCTAAATTCGATTTGTATGATTGTTTCCAATAATGTATATATATATATATATGTATATATAAAAGATTAAAATACGCTAATATTTTCTAAAGATGATTAGCGCTTTCTGGCAATTCTTTATGATCAAGTTGTTAAGAACAGTGATAATGCACATGTTAAAACGTCTATTTAACCCTAGTTGATACATTGAATTGGCTGGCTGCTATATTTGACTGACTGTTGTCACTTGATTAAATGTTTTTCTTTTATTTCGATAGAGTATTGAAATGCGCGTATTGTGTATTGATATTAATATTTTCAATAGTTGCATTTCATATTATACTTCCTTTGCTTCTATATTTTAATTGAACTTAATTATAAATACTTTTATATTCTTGACACTTGTTATCTTATATTTTATTCTGATAAATAGGCATTTCTTTGTCATTTACTTATCAGCTAGCAGGTATTAAATGAATACTAGTATGTATGTTCTACTTTCACCTTTAAAAAAACAGATTTAATCTTTCTATATATAATCGTACAATGTAACTATTTCTTAATCTTTTTTATTTAAGCACAAATAAATCATGTTAGTGAATACAAATTTTCATATGATTCCACAAAATCTACTCTTTCCTCTAATAGCATTTTATGCATTGTTCATTATCCAGAAATAAACGTTAGGTAGTTGCCAGAGATAAAAGTATTTGTTCGTATTAGAATATAATTTAATTTTATAATAGGATCTTAATATTAATTCTACAAAAAATGAATAGTAACAATAAGATTTAATTATATTTTTATTTAAATATTAGGGTTTGATTCTACAATACATATTAAGTTGTAAAGAATCTATCAACAAATAAGATTTAAACACATACTGTTTGTAATTGCTACAAAATTTCAATGATGATTCCTTATTATAATATTATTAGATAATGAATCGTGAATGATATATTAAAACTTTATAAAAGTTTAATACATTGTAATTTCTATTAAATTTAATTTATATTTTATTACCTATAATTTAAAAAATCATCTATATCTAATTTCATATTCAATAATTTGTAATTAATTTTTTAAGTAAATGGAAATCGCTTGTATGTTTAATATTAAAATTTTCCACCTTTAAATGAAACTGTAGGTATTGGAGGTTCAAATCCAATATTTTATAATACTTTAATTTGAAATAGCAAAAGTAATACAAATAGCAATATAAAAAAATTAATTTTATTATCAAGGCAATTTGGATGTGGCTAAAAAGCAATAAAACTAAAAAATTTCAATACTGTTAATTGTATTAAAGCTTTTTAGAGAAATAACGGTAGTATATATTATCACAAGAAAAAAAGAACACCAATCATAAAGAGTATATTGTTATTTTTTCCATTTCAAATTACATCACTTGTTTAAACTTTTTTTAATAATGAAAATTATATATTTAAATATATATCATATAAAAGATATAAAAGATTGTCAAAAAATTGCTTCAATAAAAAAGTTTCGTTAAAAAATGTGTTTAGTATATTACAACAGACTTTTATTTTTATATATAAACATTTTTAAAATTAGTATTTTTTACTTTCAATTTGCAGTACAAGGATTTTGTTGGTGTTATTATACACTAATTTTCTGTTATTTTGAGACAATAAAAAATCTTACAAGATGTTGAAATGAAATATTTCGTCTGTTTAACAAACTACATTTGTCAAATTCTACACAATAATTGTTGCAATTTTTTTTAATAAAAGTGAACAAATTTTAGAACGTATTTTTATTATAATTATAAAATTATAATATATTTATTGAATATACAAATATACTTATTGAAAATTTTTAACTATTCAGTACTGTTTTAACTATTACCTGTTTTTCTCTTAGTTAGCCTTCCTGTATCAGTAACATAACTAATTAATAATAGTATGAAAGATAATGGTTTATAATTTTCTAGTCAAATTAGTTTGATATCTCTAATTTTGTAAAATCCAAAGAAAACAAAATTTCTGTTATAAAAATTAATATTAGAACTTAATCTCAACTATATAACATAGACAATATAAATTATTACAGTTTATATTAATGATAACAATAATAATACTTGATATACACTTGTTTTAGTTAGTAATGTTTATTTAATAACTATAATAATCAAATACCACTTAATGTTTCATTAACAAAATTAAAAAATTGTCTTAATAAAGTAAAATAAAAGAAAAATTTAATTATATGATATCAAGATATTTCTTGGACAAATAAAAAACTCATATTCTTTTGAAACAGTGAAAGGGATAAATCATTTTAAACTAATTAAATTTATATTTTAGGTTATCTGTATTATTTAGAAAAATTAATTTGTAAGAAAACATGGTCATCAAGAAAACAAAATGTGGCATAAAAATTAAATACTCTATATTTTTTAGCTTTCTAATAATTCTATAAATAAAAAAAAATTAAAACATTATATATGAAATATGTAACATTTAAATTATACCTGCAATTTTTGTTTGTCTTTAAGAAGATGGATATCCTCAGTCCTTGGATTTCCATGGTGAATAGGGATTACATTTATTTTATAACCAGCTTCCATACGTTGACTCTGTAGGTTGGGTGGTACTGGTATCAGAAGTTCGGGACCTGCCTTTTGTATACGTTGATATACCTGATAAACGCTATTTACACTCCCATGACCTCGAAAATCTTCTGGTAGAAAAAAAAATGCACCGAAGCAGACGATACCAAATGTTAAGAAAACTAAAAGTATAAGGTATTTCTCACGTAGGCGAAACGAACGCCGGCCAAACAGCTGGCCAGGCTGTACACCGTTAACGAAACGTTGATAGCTAGGTAGAATTCCATTGCCACCGGCAGACGACGACATAATCGTCGTCCGTATCGTGTTTGCTATATCCTTGCTATTTCAATCTATCTCTCTCTTATACGTTCACCAAACCAATATTGTTAGATATATTACTCTATTATGAATTGATGTCTATAATAGTAACCAATACATGAGTACGCAAGTAACCACGAAGTCGATACACAGTGAAACTTGAAGGTTATACTGTGCGTGTACATGTACATGAGAAAATAAGTTGATTGCCCGAATTTTCACTTCTTTAACCAAATTATGTTAATGACAAAAGATTAATTCATAAAATGTGTTATTATAGCTAGCTTTGAAAAAAGAGGAATAAATTCACGTGTAATTAATGACTATAAGCTTTACAATAGCTTAAACATATTATCTTCCTTAATTGCACAATGTGTTCACTAACTATTGACAAATATTTCGTTTTATCTTTTGAATTGTAATTTATAGTTCTGGCTTCTCATAATTCTATATTAAATTATAATATGAATCGTTTCTTTAAAAAGTGCTGACATCTACAAGGAACTTGATCATAGGATTCCACGAATTAGAATGCAGAAGCATATTTTCTATCAAATTACGGCGCTAAATTAAAACATTTATAATTTTATTAAAATTTATAAATTGTGTACATTATACTGTTATGTACATAAATAAATTCAATTAAAATTATTAAGTATTAATATTTTATAAAATTATATAAAAATATTTTATAAAAAAATCTGACGCAAATCGAAATACAAAATGGAAATAAAATAATTTCTTTATCGTATTTCAATTGTTAACGATTAAAGTAAACATTTTTATTTAAATTAATATTTAAAAAAATATGTTTTACTTGAAAAGAATTTATTTATTCAAGGAGACATATATACTTTAAGACATGTTGAAATGTTGAGGATTGATAAGGCTAGCAAACATTTTCATATGATGAAATCTTGAAAATAATAAGTAATATAATCAAACAAAATAAGTAACATAATTTTTATTTTATTACTAACTAAAACTAATTGAAAATTAATTGTAAAATAATACATCATCTACGGAAGTATAGAAGAAAATTTATTTCTGATAAGGCTGACTAAACTATTACATAAATAAACATTATGTTGGTAATAAAATATACGAAAAAGAATAAAAATTTTATCCTTTTTCCTATTATATACATATTTGAATTAAAATCAGAATTTTTTACTATGGTTTTGATTATTGATATACATGATTCATATTATTCATTTCAAATTTTGGTAAATTTTTAGATAAAAATGTTTTTATAAATATGCAAGTTAAGGAAACCTCCGGAGTAAAACTTTAATAAAAAACAAACTTGCAAAGGGAAACAATAATTACATACATATTTTTCGTACTTTTTAATTTCATACTTATGCATGAATAAGTAATTACAATATATATATATATATATATATATATATATATATATATATAATAGTATTTATATGAAATCGTTTACAATTGCCAAAAATTAATCTTTACACAAATAAAAAGGATATAAGAACTACATTAAATTTAATACAATAAATAAGAGCCTTTTAAAAATTAAAATAAGCACAAAGGAAATATATCTTAAATAATAAGAAATACTTAACAAAACGTGATATATTTAGAGAGTTTTAGGAATTTTTTTTACTATTAATTATGAAAAATAATTACACTTCATTACATATTATATTCATAAGATCTTAGCGGTATTATGAAAATTTGATATTATATCGCTTATACTATTCAACACAAAAAATTCAATATTGACATTTTTTACTAATTGAAATAATGTAATTATATATTTTTAAAACTAAGAAGTTCTTAAAACTAATTTGTATTATATACGCTGTATTTTCTTAAAGCATTAAAAGTATATTGCTAAATTCATACATGTAGGTAAAAAATTACGTACTGGGCAAGTAAAGGGTTAATGCACTGATTCAATAATTAACACATATAATTATTGCTGCTGTTTATTCCATTTATTTCACTTTATTTCCAAGTTGGGATCATTAACCGTGCTGAGATTACAAATGACTTTTATATTTCTTAATAATCTTGTGGCGTTGAGATATACCCTTTTATTTGAGAACTAGAAGATGATCAATTTCTTATTCTCTGCATGTAACTGGTGAGATTACGATTCACTGTGAAAAGAAATAGGTTATAATCTATTGAATATTGTCACTTTGGAGGTTATAATCGTTGTAGTGCTCTGATCGAACACGACAATCTTGTAGTGTTTCAACTCAACACGTGTTGCAGTTGCCTCTGAATAATAGGCCGTGTAAGAGTCTAAAATAGAGGTTATACGGAGCTATGCGTCACCTGTGGCGTCAACAACTGATCGTTGCTGAAATGTGCTCTACCAGTGTGGCGCGAACAGCTGATCGTTGAAGGAAATGAAATAGTCATTGTGTGGCGTCAACAGTTGGTCTTGCTTTTAGAGCATGTCTGGGAAGCTTCAGTAGTCGGACTTTCAACCGTTCGTTTTCAGAGTAAAGCCGAGAGATGAAGATTAACTACTAGCGGTAAGGACTTACTCGCAGAGTAGCGTGAATTTTCCAGTCCCTCTTCGTTGGCTTGATGTGAAGTTCCCCTTCAATAATTGGAGCTCTTAAGTTCCCTCCTTGTCTCCAGGTGAGATTACAAGTGATCTCAGAACCTATGCAATCTAATCTTGATGAAATCAATTTTAACTGTATATTGATACACAGTCGTAGAAAGAACTTTTACTAGACTTAGCTGAACGACTTTGTCTCTGGTCCTCCTCCGTGAGAGTAAGTCGTGACTTATCCTTTCAACCATGAGAAGAATAGGAATAGGAATAAGCGGTGGTACATTACATTGCCCTTCTTAAATAGTTCACTGACCCAGTTCCATTTGGGACCCCTTCTTCTTTCAATTATCCAATCAGAGGTTGACCTTGGGCAGCACAATGGATTATGCACGCTTTCATTTCCACTTCCTTCCGGGCTTAGTCCCAAATATGTTAATCGGGAAAGTGTCGGAAGTAGGGAACCTTTACTATTAGTCACCTCTCCTTGGTCGCCTCTCCCTTCTCTGGGACTTGGCTAGACGAAGAGTCCTCTTGGGTGTGGTCGATCTCCCAATGCGATCGACTAGATGCGGCGTAGTTAAGAAACGTAGTTAAAAGCCGAGTGCGCACGTGCGCTTATTGCTTGTTGTCGCACGTGCGGGGTTTTGGGTTGCAGCGAAATTTAGGAAATGTTTGTACTCGATATTTTACGTATATCTGATACTCTTTCAGAATCTACGTCTTCTTAGCAGTAAACAACATAATAGTTTTACTGCACCGGAAAAGCATGAACACGTTTTTAGATAAGTAAGAATAAATAAGCTAACTATTCACTGGAGTTTTCCAGGTGTATTGACCATCTCGAATGTTCAGCGACCGTGGGAAGTCGTGGCAAGAAATTGTTCTCGCAATCTCGAACAAATAGATTTATTTAGAAGATAAAGTAAGCATAGAAGAAGTACGACTAGATAAAAATTAAATTGTTGTGATTGGAAGTTCTTTAATTCTATAAAATACCAAAAAAGTTAAATAAAATACTTTATCCAGCAGATTATTATGATAACTATATATTACATTTCAGTAACATCTAAAAGACTTTATTCAAATTATTAAAAGTGACATTAAATTCAAATGTAAGAAACAAGAATTCGTATATTTAAAAATATAATAATTGAACTTCTATATGCATACACTTATCTAAACAATGATTCATTGTTATAACAAATTTTTTATTACTTATTTTTTTAATTATTTAAAAAAATATGAAAACAGTATATTCAATAAGAATAAAACATAATTTTTAATTTAGAAATTAGTTATAAAAAAGAAAATTTATTTGTTATATTAATTACACATCATTCAGATAGATATATATAATTTTAAAAAATCGATAATAAACTAATACCATTATACTAATAAAAGAATCTAGTGAAATTCCGGATATAAAAAAAAATATTAAAAGAATTTATCATCCAATGATTCTAATGAATTAAAATGGTAGGTAATAAGAATAAATAACTCATTGGAAAAATATGAAATCGAAATTTGTTTCCATCTTGCTTTAATATGCATTTTTTCATAATTGAAAATTAAAATTTATAAAATATTTTAATGTATTTATGAAAATATTTGAAAAAAAAAATTTATTAAGTTTGTAATATTTATTTGATTCAATTTCAATTTTAATTGTATATTGAAAATATTTTTTTAATTAATCGCAACTACTGTATGAAATAAATATAACAATAAAAATAATGATAAACTATTTAAATATATTATTAATTATAATAAATATAATAAATTAATTTGTAATTACAATATTTTTATTTTTGGTTCTTGCTAGCAGTTGACAAGTTTTATAAATGTACGTCTTAAACTATGGTTGTTGCTCTTTGAAATGTAAATATGAGTTTAGAAATCGATAGATAAAGGTACATGAAATATTAGATAACTGTTATTATTTTTGAATACACTCCAGATTATGACTAAATTATATAAAGCGATTCCTTTCTTAATACTTTACTGTTAAATCTACTGTTTTTATATTTTTATTATTTCAATAGTATTAATGGAAAGTATTCTATCTTACTATTTCATTTTCATACTGGATTTTATTTTTGTAATCCATAACTTTTTACTTAATCTGTCTAACAGTCCATCTCACTAGAAATCGCAAATTTTTGCTTTAAACTATTAGTAAACTATAATAAAGTAACAATGTTATTAGATTTATTCAATAAAATAAAACACTTTAAAAATAATATAAACTACAGTAAAGTATTTTAATTTGTTCTTATTCCTTTCGTGAATACAAAAAATTACTTATACAAAACGTATAAAATATAAAAACAAAATATTAAAAACAAATATTATTATTTAATTAAAAGTATAATCTTAAAAAAAAGCCACATCATTATTGACATATTAGTATTTCTTTTTAATCATACATAATATGCTTTATTCTTATTAATTCTAAATATAGCATTTTGCATTGTAACAAATAAAATGGTAATTAAAATGGATCCTTTGTAAATATATTGTGTATATATTTTTTTGATACTCGTTAAAACACCATATTTTATGAGTTTAAAAAATTCAATTCTATAACTCTAATCCAATTTGTTAGCTAGTCGTAATATTTATAGTAAAAATCCTAAAAAGG